TAAAGTAAAAACACCAACCATAATACATTATCTGTAACATGACCACATTTTGGTAAGATAAACAAATAAATATGACTATGTTTACATGCCAAATATGGAAGAATAAAATTCCATCAACTACAACAAAAGTTTGAAGCATACAGATTAAATTGTTAATAGTTTGAGGGAGGGGAGTATATAATAGCAGGACTGGAGCAGTATAAAGGGTTACTTTCACTTAAAAATGTATTTATTTATTAGGGTATAACTGACATACAGTATTATGTATGTTTCAGGTGTATAACACTGTGACTTGATATTTGTGTACACTGTAAAGAGGTCACCACAATAAATCTAGTAACCACGGAGGTCCTAGCCATGGCAATTAGACAACACAAAGATATAGAAGGCATCCAAATTGGTAAGGAAGAAGTTAAACTTTATTTGCAGATGATATGATATTATACATAGAAAACCCTGAAGACTCCACCAAAAAACTACTAGAATAACCAAATTCAGCAAAATTGAAGGATGCAAAACTAATACAGAAATCTATTGCATTCCTATATACTAACAATGGACTAGCAGAAAGAGAAATCAGGGAAACAACTCCATTGACAATTGTATCCTAAAGAATAAAATACCTAGGAATAAACTTAACCAAGGAAGTGAAAGACCTATACTCTGAAAGCTATAATGTACTTGAGAGAGAAATTAAAGAAGACACCAATAAATGGAAATACATTCTGTGCTCATGGATAGGAAAAATTAATATTGTCAAAATGGCCATCCTGCCCAAAGCAATTTACAGATTCAATGCAATCCCTATCAAAGTACCAACAGCATTCTTCAATGAACTAGAACAAATAGTTCTAAAATACATATGGAACCACAAAAGACCCTGAATAGCCAAAGCAATTCTGAGAAAGAAGAGCAAAGCTGGGAGCATTACACTCTCTGACTTCAAGCTTTACTTTAAAGCTACAGTAATTAAAACAATTTGGTACTGGCACAAGAACAGACCTCATAGATCAATGGAACAGAATAAAGACCCCAGATATAAACTCATGCATATGTGGTCAATTAATATACATTAAAGGAGCCATGAATATCAATGGGGAAAAGACAGCTTCTTCAACAACTGGTGTTGGCAAAACTGGACAGCTATATGCAAGAGAATGAAACTGGATTACTGTCTAACTCCATACACAAAAGTAAACTTGAAATGGATCAAAGGCCTGAAGCCACGAAACCATAAAACTCTTAGAAGAAAACAGGCAAAGATCTCTTAAATATAAGCACGAGCAACTTTTCTTGGACACACCATCCTAGGCAAAGGAAACAAAACGAAAATGAACAAGTGAGACTACATCAAACTAAAAAGTTCTGTACAGCAAAGGACACCATCAGCAAAACAAAAAGGCATCCTATAGTATGGGAGAATGTATTCGTAAATGACTCATCTCATAAGGGGTTAACATCTAAAATAAAAACTCATATGCCTCAACACCCAAAAAACAAAATAACTCAATTAAAAAATGGGTGGAGGACCTGAAGAGACACTTCTCCAAAGAAGAAATATGAATGGCCAACAGACACATGAAAAGATTCCACGTCACTTATCATCAGAGAAATGCAAATTAAAACTATAAGGAGGTATCACCTCACACCAGTTAGAAGAGCCACCATCCAAAAGACAAGAAACAACAAATGGTGGAGAGAATGTGGAGAAATAGGAACCCTCCTACACTGTTGATGGGGATGCAAATTGGTGCAACCACTGTGGAAAAAGAAGTATGAAGGTTCCTCAGAAAACTAAAAATAGCAATACCATTTGACCTAGTAATTCCACTCCTAGGAATTTACCCAAAGAAAACAAAATTCCTGATTCAAAAAGATATATGCACCTCTATGTTTACTGTTGCACTACTTGCAATAGCCAAGATATGGAAGCAACCTAAGTGTCCATCAATAGATGAGTGGATAAAGAAGATGTGGTACATATATACAATGGAGTATTATTCAGCCATAAAAATAAATATTGCTCTTTGTAAACATGGATGGATCTAGAGGGTATTATGCTCAGTGAAATAAGCCAGGTGGAGAAAGGCATATGATTTCACTTATTTGTGGAATATAAAAAACAAAAACAGAAGGAACAAAATAGGATTAGACTCATAGACACTAAGTAGTGGTTACCAAGGGGGAAGGGAGAAGGTGGCAAAGGGATGGGGGTAGGAGGGTGAGGGGGAGAAAAGTGCACAGTAATTCACAATCACAATATAAGCTGATTACAAGGACTGTTGAACCACTGTGATGTATATTGATACTTTAATTAAAAAAATCTAGTCACTATTTGTCATCTTACAAGGTTAATACAGTGTTACTGACTATAGTCCCCATTCTGTATACTACATCCTCCTGACTTATTTTATATCTCTAAGTTTGTACTTAATGCCTCTCACCATTTTGTCCTCAACACCCCCAAAACTCTCCCCTCTGGCAATCTCCAATCTTTTTTGAGTGTGGGTTTTTTTTTTTTTTTTTTAGGTTCCACATGTAACTGAAATTATCTATCTTTCTCTGTCTTACTTATTGCACTTAGCATAATACCCATAAAGTCCATCCATGTTGTCATAGATGGCAAGATTGGTCATTCTTTGTGTTTAGTAGTATTCCATTATCTATCTCCTACATCTCCTTTATCCATTCATCCAATCAATGGACACATTGTTTCCATATCCATCTCTTGGATATTGCAAATAATACTGCAATGGACATAAGGGTGCATATATCTTTTCAAATTAATGTTTTTATTTTCTTTGGATAGATACTTAGCAGTGGAATTGCTGGCTCATACGGCAACTCTATTTTTAATTTTCTGAAGAATTTCCATATTGTTTTCCATAGTGGTGTCACCAATTTACATTCCCTTCAACAGTATGCAAGGGTTCCCTTTTCTCCACATCCTCACCCCTACTTATTGGTTGTCTTTTTGAAAATAGCCTTTCTGATAGTTGTGAGGCAGTGTCTTTATTGTGGTTCTGATTTGCATTTCCCTAATGATTAGTGATGTTGAATATCTTTTCATATGCCTGTCGGCCACCCACATGTCTTCTTTGGAAAAAATGTCTATTCAGATCATCTGCCTATGTTTTAATTGGATTGTCTTTTTGTTACCAAGTTGTATGAGTTCTCTATTTTTAGAAATTAGCCTTTTATTGGATATATCATTTGCAAGTATCTTCTATTTGGTAGGTTGCCTTTTCATTTTGTTGATGGTTTCTTTTGCTGTACAGAAGTTTTACAGTTTGATGTAATCACATTTGTTAATTTGTGCTTATTTCCACTGCTTTAATCAGCAGATTAAAAAGACACCGCTGAAACCAATGTCAAGGAAGCTCACCACTTATACTT